AACTCTTGAAAGCTAGCCTGTGTACATCCGTTTCTCACCCCTCCAAATAAATCGGGGAGAGAACGTCTGTGATTTGCCGTTTCTAATCGTGTTCTGACATAAATTTGAATATATAATGTAGACATGCGCATTAGGCTTAAGCGTTAAGAATAAAGGTCAAGTAAACAACGACGATCTTTTTTATAGATTATAGGTTCCGCGATATARTGTCAAGAGAATTTTTGTCTTACTCGACCGTTCAATTTCGTTCAAACTTCGACTGTTGTTTTCTTTATTATTATCTCTGCCGTGCTCTACCATCTTCGGTGGCCGGTATCTCGTCAAAATGTGGTTTCGCTGCAGTTTGTCTCGTATATTGACTTCTCCATCAACCGTTGTAGTTTCAGGCGGCGTACTGAYATCTTCTGGTGAAGATTTCGTCGTGCTCTCGATATCTTTAACTGGACAAATTAGTTTGAGAGTTGTAGGGATCGTGTCCAAAGTAATCGATGAATTTTCAGTACGTTTTTACAGGCGTCGAAGTGAGTACCGCGCGTAAGCGTTCCGTCTTTCATTTGCTTGTTAAACTACGACTTTTGAGGCTGTAACGTCAGAGTTACTTGACTCGGGAGTTAACTGGCGCTTTCGCGGGCTATTATGAGATGTAAAATGCAAACTACTCAACGACGAATTCGTAAAATCCAAGCTTTCGATAAGTCCCCTTCTCTTCTTTTAGCAGTAGTAAACTAATCTGGCAAATGTGAGTTTTGTTGTGAAGATTGACGGTGAATTATAGTGACCTTATAACTCCACATCTATTTTAAATTTCCCCTGACCGAATATAAGTTTAAAGTGTAAACTTTTACAAAGAATTTTAGAGCAAATAACACATTCAATTTGAGGCATTCTACATGTTCCAGTGGTTTGCATGAAGGCTTATATTTCACTCATGAGACCAACTTTTCCCGCCATCTATTGATTTTGGCCAATCACAAGCGTCAAAAGTCAACGGCCAATGAAAATCCTACTCACATCTTGAGAAGCTCACGTGACCCCAGAACACGATTAGAAATGGCAAATCACAGACGTTCTCTCCCCGATTTACTTGGAGGGGTRAAAAACGGATGTACACAGGCTATTGAAAGCCGTATTTCATATAGAAGTTTTGTTAATCATCCGACCCCATACATGACTAAAAGCCTGAGTTTTGTTCCTGAGATCAAAACGTAACGCTGATTCCTACCGTATTATTCGAATTTCATTGTTCCTAATTCAAATTTGAATAAATTATGTACTTACTTAGTTTATACGRCCACGAMGCACCAAGTGCTGCAAACATGCGTTCTTGTTTAAGTTCATGAGGTTTGAACTCTTTCCTATCTATAGCTTGCTGTAGTCTATATGCAGGCTCTGCCATATAATATGCGGCGGCTGCCTCTACTGCTATTTTACGTAGTTGCGATGCTGCATGAAGAAAATCAGCGTAGATACAATGTCAATTATCGTAGTTTCCCAGTACACTTAAAGTGTATACAAAAAAAAAAGTTGAGTATAGGGATGCGTCACCATGCCAACAGCGATATCTTCACATGTGAAAGATATGAAATCTTTCATGGTTGAAGATGTTGCATACTAGAGAACCTGGTATCTCATCGATTTGTATATATTTAAGTAGTATAGATTCAGCAGCATGGACCGCGTTTTGGGTGGAAATTGAATGGAAATGTTGGAAAATGGATGGAAAAACAAATATGAGATGTTGAGAGAATACTAATGAGATGCCCGGTTGGTAATTTATTCGAATTTAAGTCCATTCTTTTGTTCACAAATGAAGAAGCATTCAGCCAGTATTACAACGCTGCCACGCAGTTTGTAAATTCCAATCGAGTTTGGGAATTAGCCAATGAAGTATGTGAGMCCGAGTACCTCGAGAACCTCGATTTGAAAGTTCATCCTTCGTGGCAAGTATATACTTCTGAATTTCACAAGCTTCCGTGGACAACCTTCTATCTGAACCTTCTTCAGTAGAACTTTGCTCTGATCGAACGAGATCACCTCGCCTCACCCTCAAAGGTCTAGATTGCGAATTTATAGCAAGAAAACTATGTTAAAAGCTTCAGAGATTTCTTGTCCTGAAGAAATTCGAAGCAAACGTACTGAGTGCATGGACAGTTATTGTCATTGTAAATTATTCAACGGTTTATTTTAAATCCAATAAATCGTATTGTGAACAGTCATTCAGTCTCTAAACTTTTTGAGGTTATTAATCTCTTCAAGAATCCGTTTTGAATTACATTTTGACGAATTGAAGTTGAAATTGAAATTTTATATTAAAAGAATCAAGTTAATGTTTTAAAAAAAGATCTATATCTATGATCAGAAAACATGAATGGATCATTGTCTGATGATCTATTTTTATTTCCATTGATATATCATCGTATTTGCGATTATTATTATCAATATTTCATAGTTTGAAACCAATCCAACAGAGAATTTTGTGAATTGTGATACACTATGTTGCACCATTTGCTGAAGCTCATAGTATAGAAGGTTCTAATTTCGTAAAAGCTTTTCAAAACTTGATAGTTCTTCCATTGGCGTTTGAAAATGGATGGACGCCAAGGAAAGCTAGGACAAATTCGGCAAGTGCCTCTAAAACCTGGCAGCAATAAATGGTTTTATAATTAAAACGATCCACTATAATTTGCATTCTAGAATGAATATCCTGGCAGCAATAAATGGTTTTATAATTAAAACGAACCACTATAATTTGCATTCTAGAATGAATATCCTTTGGTTCGCAGTACCATATTTCCTGACCCTGGTAAGTGGTCTGGTTTGTGCAATAAGCACACAGTTTTTCGTTTTGGAGCAGTTTATTATTGATACTGATGATTATTTCATGTTCCAAAAGGCCTTTTTCAGGATAATTCAAAAGTTCCTAGAGATATTTCTTCGCCTGCTCAAAGTGCTCTTCGCTATTCAAAATCTCTCTTTCTATTGTTAGCATGTTATCCGGCAATGCAAGCCTTCAATCAAAACCACTAAAATTACGACTGTAGGGATGGAATCTTTCTTTCACGCTTTGTTTTGGGACTTCTTCTTTTGTGGACAATTTGTTCAACAAAAACGTTCTTTGATGAATGGCTGATTGGTTTGCTTCTTCCCAGTCATAGCTCTCCATATCCATAAGGTTTTTCTGTTTTTCTATTATATTTTGTTAGACTACGCCTCCCTGACATTTAGTTAATGCAATGTTAATAAGTTAATAGTAGATCTCAGTTTTAAGTGATTCATCAGCAGTTTTATAGTTTGGTCTGGAAATTGAAATATGCCAATTCATGTACTTGTAGTTTTAGATTACCAGGAAAAATAGTTTTGAATTGCCAGTAACTTTAATGTCCAGCAATTGTTATGCTGTAGGGTTAAGACCAATATTGAATTTACAGAAAGAATGTGAAATTTTCAAATATCATTATTATTGTATTTTTATAAGTAATTATTTTAGTTTAGGTTTATGACGCAGTTTAARAATGTTCACGTGATCGACATTTGTAGAATAAGCCAAGGTCGTCCTAAATGGKGAATTCCCCTCAGTATGGAGTTATGCCATAATTGGTTATTGTTTTAGTTAATATCAAATTATTATTTGGGTTTTGTCTAATTCTGTAAAACATATATCAAGCAATGTAACGAGTAGTAGTTAGTTAGTCAGCCCAGTAAGTCAGTCCAGAGAGTTGAACCAGTACAGATCATTAAGCAACCGCGTTAAAATAAAGAACAAGAACAAACTAAGAGGTACGTTTTCACTGCCGCGACGGTCCCTTGTGGTCCAACACTTTTTATAAATAGGATCTCTTTTGAATAGATGCATCCACTTTAGTTCGTCAAACAGAACCTCCTTCAGCTCTTTTTAACTCGGAGATTGCGTAAGCAATCGTAGAGTTATTGGGAGGGGACAGGCTGTCACTCGCTCGCTCACTTTCCTGTAAACTTCCTGTTACGTTTTCTGTAAACTTCCGGTTAATTTTTGGTTACTATATTAACTTCTGTATTTTTGCATTTTGATTCTCTACTGGTTTCCCTTTGCTACATCTGATTTATTTTTTGGCAAATAAAGAAATCAAAGAAATATGGGTCACCTAACCATAACAAGCAATAAATAACAGCTTAAGCAAAACAATAGAGAACAAAAGGACTATTGTCCGGAGATTAAGTGAACAAAAGAATGGACTTAAATTCGAATAAATTACCAACAGGGCACCTCATTAGTATTCTCCCAACATCTCATTAGTATTCTACCATCCATTTTCCAACATTTCCATTCAATTTCCACCCAAAACGCGGTCCATGCTGCTGACTCTATACTACTTATTTATGTATACTCGTATGCTTAGCGTGTCAGGGGAAATCAGATACCAT